TTTACAGTTGAATTGGCTAGATGTAACCGTAAGTTCTAAGCTAACAGTTTTTCTCACACACCTCGCTTGTGGACCTCTCTTCCGGTTCAATGCTTTCCAGTTAACTTTGATCAATCGTTATCTACTGTCTTCCTGATTACTATTGCTATCTCTCCTTAATAATGTTTCTGATTTGTAATTCTTTCAAATCCAGTACACCCTTGTGTCTTAGTGGCTTTACAGCCTTGCGTGGAGTAAATCAGATTTTAAATCTCCCGAGTGAATTTTCGAAATCTGGCTGTAATTACCGATGCTACGGTGGTTACCATGTTCTGAATAGGTTTACAAAGAGGTGATCTATATCCTCTATCATATATAAACTCATTTATTTTAAACTTACTAATAAACGCTGTTTTTCAAATATAAAATTAACTTCAGCTTATCACCAGATAAAAGTACCTTCTGATGATTTGCTTTAGACAGTAAGAAATACACTTTTCAAACTGAATAGAACTATATGCCTTTCACAATAAAGAGCTCAGCAGAAATATTTCAACAAATATTTTGAGAAAAATATTCGCTAATGAAGACTGTTTATATGTGAATTTATACGATATACTTTTATTCAGTGATGACGAACAAATGCATATAAAAATAATTTGGTGTTTAAAATTTTAGTTGAAAATTTTTTTTTTTTTTTTTTTTTTAATATAACTTTAATGTTTCTAACCTAGAATTTTTGTGATATATGACTATAGGAGGACTTTTGTCCTCTAACAAAAATGTTAATGGTTTGAAATTTCTTTTTCTGTACCCAAAAGATTATATATATATATTTTGTGACGGTGGATTTTATCTCCAATTATACAAAAATTGTTCTACCTCTGTCTTAATGCATAGAATTAATTCTCAATTATTATTCCGAATTATCCAATTTTGAAAAAAATAGATTCCTCTAATATTATTATGGGGAAACTTTGTAATGTAACTGTCCTAGCTCATCTGCAGTGTGAATTGTCTGACTGTCAATTGATCACTGACAGTAGTCTGCATACCGTTGGTACAGTATTTCACCAAATAATAGATGTAATACCAATTCCCATTTCATTTCCAAAAAGTTGATGCAAACTCAGGCAGTCTATTTAGTTGTCGCATTTGGCACCTCATTGAAGTTCGTCATATGATTTAGTTGCTAAACCATAAATTACTCACGTTTTAAAGCCTGTATAATAGGATTGTTACCTGTCAATATTTACTGAGTACATGTCTGATATATCGCATTTTGTTTTGTTTTTGTTTTTTAAAAAAAAAACACTTTTATTTATTGTATATAAAATACAATTAGGGCACAAGGCCAAAATGGGAAGAGGTTGAGGCTGGTAGTCACTAACTATCTTATACCTAGATAATCTGATTCACGATCCATTCACACATTACAGTTTCCACATTCACCATAAGAACTCGTCCGTCACCAATCAATCCTCCATCCACCATAATACCGCATCTTCTCATGGGGAACCTACAAAACGCACCCCCATGCCTTAAAAATTAAATGATAATAATTATATATATACAATTCAATGAGAGGGGAGGGAGATGAACTCAATAATAAAAAACGCTAGTTGATTGTCGTAATTGTTGTGATGCAAATCGATTATTGTAACGCGTCAGAAATCATTAAAGCAGTTTAAAAAAGTTATTCCCGTTAAAGAGTGTCAAATAGTAATTTTGTATGATCATCCGCATTTTATCATCAGCCATTCATACCGAAATCGTTATGTAATTCCATTTTGGATAACCTTCATTATCTCATTTTAACATTTTATGATCTATAAATTTGTTTAAATCAAGCTATCACTGACCACACACATATATATATACATATATATATATATATATATATGATCGAAATAAAAGTATTTAATACTACTAGACATATTAAAAAGTATTAAATAATAAAAAAAACTCAACAACAAGGAAGCAACCGGTTTCGCTCCCGCTCGTCAAACTTCCATGTAAAAAAAAAAAAAATTCCATATGCATATATATATATATATACATACAAGTACATATGTCGGAAGAAACTAGAGGCAGATGACATTATCCCAGCAAACACTCATTGTTTGCACAAAGAAACTTTTGTAAAGTGCCTCCAGAACCTTAAGATGAAATATATATATTTTTTTTTTTTTTTTACTGTACAATCTTCAATCTCCTATCAGCGGGAGCAAAACCGGCTGCACACCTTTTTTTTTATTTTTTTTTAATACTTTTAATATGTCTAATAATATATATAAATTATACTTTTATTCGATCATTAAATATACAAAAATATCTTCAAATATATATATATATATATATATATATATATATATATATATAACGTTATTTTCACTAGATACTTGTATTTGAGTAGAGACGCTACGTTTATTTATTAAAGAGTATATTTATTTATTTTTATCTACCGGCTTGAATATTCGATAAAATATGCGCTCTTCGATAGGATTCGAACCTTCGTCCCTCTAGACTAGTAGACGAAAATAAATAAATATGCTGTTTTATAAATAAAATAGTGCATCTACTCAAATACGAGTATCCACTATAAATAACGTTTAAAGTGATAAAAATCCGTCGGAATAATAATAATAATAATAATAAAACACAAATTTCTTTGTTTACGTTCGGATACGAAACTGAACAGATATGTCTATTTCGAGAGTCAGAGAAAAATCTGTGGTTAAAGGCATTATTCAGATTTGCTTGGTCATCGATGCACTCCGAGAGGTCAAAACACGTCAGGTCAAATGACAGTTTTCTTTAGCGGTACGTAGAGGTTCTAATCCTGCCGAAGAGCACACATTTTTCTCTAATAAGATTTCTCGAATATTCAGGCTTGTAGACGAAAATAAATATACTGTTTAATAAATAAGCGTATCTAATCAAATGCAAGTATCCACTAAACATCATAAAAATCTGTTGGATTTATAAAAAAAAATCCCTTTTCTTTACATACATAGATACATAAAATGGCTGGCCACTTGTATCCGAGGATGCCTGTCTACTAAGGCGGCTAGCTAATCCCCATTGCCGACGCCCGCTCAGACATATTTGTGTTTGCTCAACACTCACAGAGCCCACCTGTGGTTTATACTGCAACTATACTGAGCAGACCTTAGTTACAGTTTCTGGGAGAGCGCGCGTTATCTGAACAAGGCCAACACACTCAAACCCTTTGTCAGGACTTGTGACTTCGTGCTGGTACAACTACTGACGGGTTCCGACTACCCAGTTTCACTCACAAGGCTTGGATCAACACATGATAGGGTTTTCAGGCCCTTTCCAAAAGTGCCGCACACTGGGATCGTCCCCCTCCAGACCGATAACATCAAGAAACCTCCTTCCTGACAAATCGAACCCACCGGGTTTCATGGTCAAAATGCGAAAGTTCTAATCACGCACACACACACGCACACGCGCGCGCTCGCGCGTGTGTGTCTTGTCAACAGTCAAAAATTAATAAATATGCAAGTTTTTGCATTCAAAATAAAGAATTACCTGCATCACTTTTTTCAAAATATTTATATAGATATTGTCAAACGATTCCTCCCTACAGTAATGATTTAGATCAATATTTAAGCCTCTACAAATATTTTTAATGTTCATAGTCCGTTCATTTTGTTGGATAAACTGAATCCACCGGATAATCAATAACTAAAAATGTTTGTAAATACATGGATTACATTTGCAGTTTCACCCAATGTCATGACCTGAAAGTCAATTTGAAAGTGAGTTGTTTTTTACAACTGTCAAGAATTAGTTTTCTTGGATGGAAAATAACTGCTTACCATCGACAATGACAAATTACCACCGCCGCTATAATTATACATACCTTATTGTCTACCAGAAATTTTATATGAAAATATTAAAAGAAATAGTTGCATGAGCCATCTTCTACAGAAACATTGTTTTGTGTAGGAATATCATTTCCAAATATTAAAACCCCAAACTCAAGGAATATTTTTTTTTTGCAAACTCTTCTGATTTTATAAGTATTTGCTTCTACGTAAGTAATGTCTTATACCAGATTTTTAGTTTGGTGAATAATTGTTCGTTTTTCTTTTTAACTTTTATCTGTTAATTTCCTAAAACAATTCCTAACGCACAATAAGGCATGTTTAAATTTAATTTGTAACTGTCACATTTTAAATATCGTATTTTTATCAGACTAAGAATGTAACAGAACAACAAACATCAAACTATCGACAAAAAATTTAAAAAAAGTTTAATTCATAGCAATTTTGACAGAAAAATAAATAAATAAAAGATAATTAATTAATATAAAATTAATAAAAATAAATAAAATTAATAGATGCAGTCCTTAAAAGCAAAGCCATTTTTCCCCTGGAGATTGAGCAAACCCAGGCTGGACGAATAAATAATGGAGGGTGATAAAATGTTTTTGAATTTGTAGTCTCCACGGTCTGCAACGCCTTTCAAGTCGCCTCCGTCCAGACCCCACAATCAAGAATAGCATAAACTCTCCGCCAGAAGACAATATAAACTGTGGGAAGTATTGAGCCAATATTTCAATTTAAGCTTTCTGTTTGTTTATTTTTATTTATTTTATTTTTTTGTAACTATGATGCCATTATCTTTTTATTTCTCGCAGAAGAGAAGAAATGACGTATTCTTTTGAATGTAACGGAAAACCCGTAGATATTGTTAGATTTCCAAAATAAACGCACGAGCCAACGTCTAGGGAGGCGAAGAACCTCTACTTACTCTTGAAGCAACGAGCAAGGGTAAGGGTGTGGTCACGTGCACGTTGCATCACGGCGAATGAGTGTGGTTTTGGGGAATTGACAAGCATTCTTTTTTTCTTTTTTTTTTATCTGAACGTTTTGCTCAGCTACAAAAGCAGCGTGCTTGCTTAACAGTAAGTGTGATTTCGTGGCTAAGAAATTATGCTTTGTGTTTTTATCTTAAATACACAAAGTTAAAATATATATATTTTTGGTTGCTTATTCCTCCTCATCGTCCTGATCAATGTATTTTGTCTGTTGTCCGGTGTACGCTGGAATGAACATTTTTGAATTGGCCTGTTGAAAAAAGAAAAAGAAAAAATCTATTCAGAAACGTACAATCAACAAATAAATACAAACGTCTGTAGGAGGTTAAAAACGTAGCTGTATAATAGGTATACTTGACAAACTATGAAGAAAAAAAATTTGTTGGGATTTTATATCCCTACCACATGCATATGGTAATTAAGCATGTGAATACATCTATAGTAGCATATTTACCGGAAAGAAAAAGCAGAACTGCTGTTATGGTTTCAAACAGTACTCACCTGTTCAATATCCCTGTCAATACATTTTTCTAATCTTCCACAGGTGATTCAAAAACATGTTAACACTTTTATGGGAGTGCTTACAATATTATTTGGACTGTTATCCTCATCTTCATTGCCATATTCATAACGTTTCGGCTGTTGTATGCTCCGGCCTTCTTCAGGTATTTGGAATTTCGAACCGAGCCTTTTATTTCGTCCACCGGGGTAGATTGTTCTAGTTCCACGTGCTATGCTTCTTCCGGATGTCTCAATTATTTCCTTTTAACTCAACTCTCCAATTTTTCTTTTGTTCACAACTGCTGTCGCCTGGTATTGAACTCAACTCTTTGGGTCTAGTCAATGGATCCAACCAACGCCTTTAGGTTTATAAGTCTCATAAATTCATACACAGATGTCCTCAAGGTGGATAAGGGCTTTGGTTAGATCCAATGACTAAACCCAAAGATGTGTGAGCTCATTACCTGGCTACAGAAGTGGTGAACCAAAACTTGGAGAGTTGAGTTAAAGGGAAATAACTGTGACATCCGGAAGAGGCATGGCACGTGGTACTAGAACGGTGGACGAAATAAAAGGTTCGGTTCGAAATTTGAATCACCTCAAGAAGGCGTACAACGGTCGAAAGGTTGGGAATATAGCAATGAAGATGATGATAACAGCCTGAATAATGTAAATAATGTAAGTAATCATAATGCCTCATCTTAGAGATATAGACAGATACTTCTATGGGAGTCTTCCTGTCCTTTGTAGCTTTAAGCCACGTTTAACTCTTTATCATTCTTCTTTGTCACTGTGAGGGCATCCATTTATGTAAACTCAATGTGCTGTTTCCCCATGCCCATCATGATTTCAATGTCCTATGAGTGTTAAATTTGCCAAGCCGTCTTTCCTTATAATGTCACTGAAGTTTCCTTGTTCCTATTTTCGTAAAACCTTCTCGTTTCTCATACGTTCTTTTCATAGTATTTTCTGTATTCTTCTATGGAATTACATCTGTTGTTTCAAGTTTCCACTTCATCTGTAAGGAAACTGCTAAACATTCACTGCCCTTTTGGAGGATTGATATTGCATAACTTCAGTTTTTTTCCTTTTTCCTATCTCTTAATACTTTTAGTTTCTGGAAAGCAAAATTTAGTTATTCCAATACGCCTAAGGATTAAAGTTAAAACACCGTCATATGACTTGTAACACTAGTTTTAAGTATAGTAAAGTGCTGATGTCTTCTTTTACAAATTGTAAATATGTCCTTTCGCAGTCCCAAATATACATAGTGATAACGTTTAAATGGTATAAACTTTTTTTGTTTATCGTTTTTTGTTTCAGCATTCAAAATTTTCTGGCATTGTTTCCAAAATGGCTAGATGTAACCGTAAGTTCTATGCTAACAGTATTTTTTATCGCACTTCTGGCTTATGGAACTCTCTTCCAGTTCTTGCTACCTTGTCAACTTTGATCTTCAAAAATTTAAATGCAATGTCAATCGTCATCTCCCGTTTTCTTAATTTTTGTTTTTTTGTTGTCTTTTCTCCTTAATAGTATATTTTTCTCATTCTCAATAATTCTTTGCGTCTTAGTGACTTTATTGCATTGCTTGGGGTGAAAGTTTAAAAAAAAATCTTTGCACATTGTTTTATTGTGAATGCAATACTTGACTCACACGCATGCGTATCCGTGGTGAGTAAGGTGTTGCACAAACCCAGACCCTCAAGAAATATCCTTCCCACAGTGAAGAGCCACAAAAGAATATCTTTCTCACAGCACCAGTTTGCCATCTGTTAGACTGGTTTCCGCCCAAGCCTAGAAAACCCAATATACTTTACTATTTAATCCATAGATGGATGGGAAAGTTGAATTCACGCCTTTCTCAAGAGCATTAGCGCAAAAATGAACGTAATAAACTCTGTAAGAATTTGAGCTTTGCATGGCTATTTTACTTTCCGTCCCTATAACTGTTACACTACTCGCACACCCACTTTATTAGATACAACGAAAATGAAAGAATCTTTAGCATGAAAAAATAAAGAAAATTATGAGTTGGATATCCATGAAAAATGATGAGAGTATTAATATGACGGAAATGTAATGTGTGTGATTTTTTTCCATTTTCTTAGGTGAAGCATTTTCAATTAGCATTTTTTTAAAATTTTAACCTCTTATCACGAACCCCTGAGTTGTGATAAAAAGAAATTGAATTTAGAACAAATGAAACACTAGTTGTAAAATTAACCACTGGTTGAAGTGCATATTTTGGGGGGGGGCGAAAATAAGCGAAATCAAATGTGCAGACAGAATGATGGATGAAAAAGTTCACTTACTACAAATCCCAGAGAGTGAAGGCTGTTGATTACGTTCAACATAGGTCCTTTTTTGCCTTCATACAAGTCATTACTTTGGAAGAGGAATTCTTTATTGACACCATATGTTTCGCAAGCTTTGCCGAATTCTGAAATGTTGGCCATGGCGACAAAAGGAGTTGCAGCCTTTTTCGTAAATTTGACGTGGCATTTGCCGTCACACTCCAACAATTTGTTGATAAATCTGGAAGAAATCAAATAACTTGAAAATTGCAAATCTGTCATTTGAAAGCTTACTGAAAAGGAGGAAATATTTGTACTGGAGGATTTCGGTGAATTATGAAAGTATTGGAATTTCTTAGATGAGTCTCTGTTGAGTGATATGCATATAACCTTTTGCATGGTTTTTTCTATCATCTCTAATTTGGACTCCTACAAGGCGTTTGGACTTGATGGTATTCCTGTAATAGGCATTAAGAAGTGTGCTCCCGAACTGGCTCCTGTTCTCTCTAAACTGTATAATAAATGCTGCGCTGCCCCTTGCTTTCCTGCTCGTTGGAAATCCTCATTTGCTGCTCCAGTCTTTAAGACCCCAGGTGAACAATCCGACCATTCAAACTATCAGCCTATTAGCCTTCTACCCCTTTTTGGTAAACTACTAGAGGCACTAATTAATGCTGAATTAATTAAGCATCTCGTATCGCGGGGCTTTCTTTCAGACAAGCAATGTTGCTTTTGTTTCTTCATGTCAACTGCTGATGTATTAACGATTATTGCGGAAAGAATCTATGAAGCATTAGATAAGAATGGTGAAACTCAGGCTGTTCCTTTGGACATATTGATCATCTTCACAAGTTGAAAAGTTATGGTGTTTCCGGACAAATTTTTGAACTGATTCAGTCTTTCTTATCAAATCGTGAAATGGAAGTTATCCCGAATAGCCACTCTTCTAGATACATTTGTACTAATGCAGGTGTCCCCCAGGACTCTATCTTTAGTCCTATTTTGTTTTTAATTTTCATTAACGACCTTTCTGATGACATCAGCTCCCAACTCGGTATATATGCTGATGACACAACCATGTCTCGATAGTAAGTCTGATCAGTTCGATAAGGTCAAATTGGCGGCTGATGCAAAAAACGACATGCAGTCTGTTGTTAACTGGGGTAAAGAATGGCTTGTTAATTTTAACGCCTTCAAAACTAAATTGCTTTCTATTAAAGATATATGACATTTTAAGTTACCTATCTGAAGTGTAATAGCGGTGGTTTCGTTAGGATGTTATATTTTTAAGATTAATGTTTATTTACGTTGTTATATCTTTTTATCGCTGATACCTTCTGACAAGTGGACCGAATGATTACAAAATTTTCGTCTACGAAACTCTGGAATCGGGGTGTTGAATACAACATAAATTAACTGTGACAAATTTTATATTTGAATTAATCTTAAGATAACACATATTTTTTTTTTGTGTGTGTGTATATTATTACTGCTATTTACCGACCAAGGTAGGTGTCATGAAAACTTTTGATGCTACTTTTTCAATTAAATTCATAAAAAGTTGATGTTACTTTTTCAATCAAATTCATAAAAAGTTGATGTTACTTTTTCAATTAAATTCATAAAAAGTTGATGTTACTTTTTCAATTAAATTCATAAAAAGTTGATGTTACTTTTTCAATCAAATTCATAAAAAGTTGATGTTTCTTTTTCAATTAAGTTCATAAAAGTACAATTGGAATCATTTTTATCTAAATTCATATCTGCAAAGTAAAACCGTCTAAAATTACAATTTTATCTAAGTTAGTTTGTTTACTTTGAGGTAGTAAAAATGAATGAGGTCAACTTCGTACACATATTTTGGATTAAAATGTTTTCTTCAACCATCAAACTTTGCCAAGAGGTGACTGGCACTTACTTGCACAAAACAGTTCCATCCTTCAGGTAAGATGCAATTTGATTGTAAGATGATCCGGGCTGGACGATTACGAAGAGGAAAAAAGAAAAAGAAAAGATAAATTAATTAAAAAAAAAAGTGTCAACGATCAACAGATTTGTGATTATTGATAACGTTAAATATCGATATACAATTCTGAATGGTATTTCTTCGTAAGATGTGTGTTAGGGTACAAAAGATGAATAACGGATTAAGTTAATAATATTCAATCATTTTAAAAGCTACAAGGGATAAAGGGATTAATAAAAACACAAGACGGAATGGGGAGAGAAGTAAAATAAAAAGGAGTCATACTGACTCCCCCTTTTTTCTCCTCTCTCCCTTCCCCACTGTTTTTTCACCGGAGTTTCTTGTTTTTTTTTTAAATTTTTTCTGGCTTTCTTTTGTTCTGCCGTTCCTCTTTCCTTCTTTTTCATTGATTATCTTGCTTTTCCTCATCCAGTGCTCATGTGGAAACAAAACACACTAATATATATTATATATATATATATATATATATATATATATATATATATATATACTGAAAACAGGGTTGATATAGATGGAATAAAATTCCGATAACCAAAACCACTATTTTTTAAAAAGTGCTCAATACAAAACAGAGCAAATATGTGCGTATGTATACATATCTTTTCTTTTAGTTATTTAGCTTGTTTATAACACGATATGTGTATTTCAACTAATTATGCCTCGTACATATGTTATTTTTTACCATTATTACCTTTATTTGCTTATCCCCCCATCTTTTTTACCCATTTGTTTGTTCATGTATGTAAGATTTTGATCAACACCATCACTTGGTAAGAGACCAGAAGTATTGAAACAAAATGGTTATTTTTGTAGTGATGCTATAATATGCATTATATATATATAAATATTTATATATATATATATGTGTGTGTGTATAGTATGTATATAGTATGTATATAGTATGTTTATATGTATAAAATAATATATATATATATGGATGTGTAAAATATGGATGTGTAAAATAATATATATGGATGTATAAAATAATATATATGTATGCATAAAATAATGTATATGTATAAAATTATATTTATGTATAAAATTATATGTATGTATAAAATAATATATATATATAAAATTATATATATGTATGTATAAAATAATATATGTATGTATATAATAATATGTGTATGTATATATATGTATGTATGAAATAATGTATGTATGTATGTATGTATATATATGTATGTATGTATGCATAAAATAATATATATGTATGTATGCATAAAATAATATATATATATGTACTAGCAGTAGGGCCCGGTCTCACATTTGATGAGTTATTTTGAGTAGGAGTAGGAGAAGGGCTACTCTGAATACAAAAATAAGGCAACAGGAAACTACTCGACACTTTTTCTCAAGTTGTCATGGCGATTCAAATGTAATTAAAGCAAGAAATTTGATATTTAATAAGCTAATACAAGGATAAATTAGGGCGTGAGAGAATATGGATGGGAATAAGATAATGCTGAATCTTCCAAATAGCGGAGGACACTTTAAAAGTAACATTTAAAATCCTATTTTTTCTTTTTTTTAAATTTACCTGAGATCCACTTAGTGGTACCAAGGCGAAATATCTGTCATACATTGATGTTTAGTAAACTTAGATTAATATGGAATAATGTCAATTAAAGAGACATGCAGTAAGAAGACTATGTTACGCCAAATCACCCATGAAGATGAAGTCTGTTTTAAAAATTAGTATTCGAAATTCTGAGTTTTTATCCCAGCTCGAAATACGCAACTATCTCAGCTACGATGTAGGCTTCGGCTTGTTCATGAATTTTTTGTTGCAAGAATCTTTGATATTAGTTTTGATTTAATTGTAGAATTTTTTTTCAAGTGAAAAGAAAAGAAGTAAAAAAGAAATATTCATCTGTGAGTCACGCTCTTCAACAGCCAATGACTTACTGTGTATATTTCTGCTTTAAATTCTCATCTAAAAAAATAGTAAAGTAATAGTAAAATAGTGACCAGTTGCTATTCAGAATCCAGTATGTCAAAATACATTCAGTTCATTTCATCATAAATTTATATTCTTATCTAGAGTATATTGTGTGTGTGTGTGTGTGTCTGAGAGAGAGAGAGAGAGAGAGAGAGAGAGAGAGAGAGAGTTTTGTGTGTGTGAAAGTGATAGAGATGAAGGAATACAAGAAAGATAAATAAGATACGTAATCTCGCATCTGGTTGTAATTCTACCCAATTCTCTTTTCTCATTGGATTTTTCTTATTGCATATATTTATAATTTATATTCTATTTTTATTTACCTTCAGCTGAAACGATATTTTTTCTTTCTTTTTACTTTTTATTTTTTGTTTCTTTTCGATTTTTTTCGTTCCTTCTCCCATGTTTTATCACATTTTTTTGCATTTACTTTTTTATTATTATTTATTCAAAACCTTTCTTTATTTTTTCTTCTTACTTTCTTTTTTTTTCTTTATTCTTCTTTCTTTATTCTTTTTTCTTTATTCTTTCCTTATTTTTTCTTTTTTGTCTTTCTTTCTTTCTTTCTTTCTTTCTTTCACACAGTGACTATCTGCCAACATTCCCTCCTCCCGTTACAGTTTTCCCACTATTGCCGCCGCCATTGCTCTGCAACTCTCTTATCTATTTTTTTCGGAACGTTTTTAAAAAAAATTCTTGCGAACCCTCCGGCACTCGAAATGGCCGATAGCCAAGCACAGACGGAGCCTTCTAACTATTTCTTGTACACTTCCCACTTCCCACTCTCCACTTTTTATTTTGCCATTCCTTTTCATCAGAGAGGAATCTGGACAGTTCGTTCACCGTTAACGCGGCAGCCTTATAAGGAACTTTTCGGCCTAACAAGAATTTCTTCGCTTCGCTCTTACCAAATACCATTGGAATTTGTTAAAGTTAAAAACGAAAAGAAAAAATGTTAATAGATGATGAAAGTCTTACCCTAGCAACAATATTTCCTCGTATATATTTTGCAAATTTTATTTGATATCTAGGATTTTACTCTATCCGTAGGGATATGGGTCATGATACACCTTCTCGCCTAGTCTAGGATGTCTACAGATTTGAAAATAGTAATAAAAAAAAAAGGACGAATACCTATATAAGTGTATAAATTTTTAACATAAACAGTAAACACAGATGTACAGCTTGGATGCTGGGTAGCTGACCCAGAGACAGCACCTTCCCATTGTACTTAGAGATTAAGAAAGCAATACACCTGATTTATATCTTGTAAAACCATTAAAAGTTCTGAATATTCAGAAAAGAAAACTTGCAGACGTGAGCAAGAAATCTTATTTTTTTAAATGGTTTGTCATCGCAAAATAAAGTCGATGTGCTTACAAACTGAATTTTTACTGTCTTACGGACTTTATAAATACATGAAACACTTTTCTCAAGTTAACATTAATATTTTAATGTTCCCCCAAACCAATCAACCAACCAAACAAAACATTAATGTTTGAATTATTTTGTTTGGCTTAATGTTTGGTATTTTACTAGTGTAAAAACAATGGAAGTTACAAACATGTGTCGATATATTATTTCATAAAAGAAAAAAACAACAAAAAATACATAAAACTAAAAAAGTAAGAACTATTTGAATTGACAGTTTGTGTTGTGTTAGACGAAAAGAATAATTTTATATAGGTATCGTTCGCTTTTACGAAAGACCTACGTTAATAATTGTTTTCTACATGCACTATTCGAAATAGCATAAAACAAAGAACTATTAATCTCCCAAATAGCCACTTTCTTCGTTCGTCTGCTTTAATGTCGAAGGTCGAGGCTCATCATCTGCTTTGATGAACGTTGGAAAGATTGAAATATGCCAGCATGCTTGGCTGCATATACTCATGCATTTCTTTGTTCTTTGTAGATACTCAAAACCATTCTGCATTAAATATCCGTGTCCTTTCAAAATTCATATCTTTTCACCAATCATTGCATTACGATCGAAAATCTCACGTAAGGTTATGTTTTGGAGTGTGGGGACGCTGAAAAAATGCTTCCAATATAAATTAATTTTAATTGTTCTTTGATTTTAAGCCATTTTGACTTATACAAGATTTTGTAGACATGTTTGCCATTCGGATGGCGTAGAAAAGGCGTGATGTCTTGACTGAAAATGGCGTAGCAGATATCTGTGACAGAAAACGTACTCAATTGCAAAATATCTTGATGAAACCTATTGAGAAAACAGTTTAAAAATTATTTTCTATAGTTATCTTGCATGCTCAGGCTATAGCATAAAAAGCTGATACTTCATTAATCTTAACTAATATCGTTAGAACAGTGGTTCTCCACCCTTCTTTTGGTCATGCACCGGCGGGTATGACCCCCCAAAAGAGTGGGGAACACACAATTCTTGTTCTTATATAAATTTATTAAAAAATTATAACATAAACATGTTATAACATCACTACAATTACAACATAAAGATGTTATAACATCACTACAAAAATAGCTATTTTCTTTCGACACTTTTGGTGTCTTATCAAGTGATGGTGTGGAATAAAGAGTTTTAAAAGGTTCAAATCAATCAAACACCCCTCAACACATAAGCTACAATGACCAATCAAAATGCAAGTATATGAAAATTAAAAAGAATTGTCAATGCACCTTGGTTATAATTTAATGCCTTAATGTTAGCGTTAGACTAAAATAAAAATCATTCTAACTGATTAATTTTCATTTTTACTATAAAATTGAAGATACGTGTTAAGTTTAAAATATTAAAATTATTTAAATAACTGAGGAAATTACATATATTTTATTTATTTTGTTTTAATCAAAAAGCCAAAATCTCAGAGCAGACGCTAATCTAAGGAGATACATTTGAAGTGACGATATGGACAGGGGAAGAAATTTTACAAATTACAATACATACACAATCATATTATACTATACAAACACATAGACGTATTTAAATATATAAACACACAAAAACACGGACGAAACAGGAAATAGATATCCACGACCAAAAAAGGGTAATGTAATATCAGACACATATACACACAATGAAAGGCATATATAGGCAATCATACACACTTACATCAATAAAGACATAGACATATACATAGACAAACCCACAAAAATTCCCGTCTGAAATTATCAATAAGCGAATGCAACATTTAAAATATTACATGGGTAAAGCAATATATATTTGTCCGTGTAAATAATATTTTAAATTTAAATAATAATTTAAATAATTTAATTATAAATTAATAAATTACAAATTAATAAATTACAAATTAATAAATTATAATAATAATTCAAATATTTTAGATAAAAAGGGGGTTTAATAGTTAAGAGTGTTAGAATAAGAAAACAAATATTCGCCAATGAACAAAGCCAGGAAAAAAGACAATTAAACATATACAAATATGCAGACAAAATATATACGTATACACAAAAAAAACAAGACAAAAACAAAACAAACTACTAACAATATTATCAATATGACTATAAATGATTCAGAGCCAATTTAAGATTAGAATGTAACGAAAAACAACTGTTAATTATTAAGTCCACAAGCAATTTTAAAATCACTATAAAACAAAAGTAGATTATAGTTAGCATAGATAATCCATTTAAAACGCTAAAATATACACATAGATATCTTCACACACATGTGTGTGTGCATGAATATATGAACAAGCATATACATAACATTCCTAAATACACACACATATATATATACAAACATAACATATATACACATATACCTGCAAACACACACATCTATCTATCTATCTATCTATCTATCTATCTATATATATATATATATATATACACGCATATATATATGAATACATGTACACATACAAACAACGTTATAAACGTTTACATACATATATGTACATAAATAGGAGGATTAGCCGATAATATAAATGATAACATGCTACACTTTCAATAATTTTGCATTATCGTCGAAAATATTACTACACCTATAGTAGGTTAAATTTTGAGTTATATTTACAGTTAGCAGTGAGTTCATTCCTTTAAGAGATAGATCTTGTCTTTAAATCTATTGATTTCAAATTTTTCATCAAGACATAAATAACAAGTGGCATATAGAGAATTACATGCTCGTGCTCTCTTAATTTCCATTTAACAGTAGGTGTTTTGTTTTCCTCCTCTAAACTCAAAAATACTTGGGCAATGAAGTCTTGTATTTATGATTACTATTGTTGAAACATGTCCACGCCAACGCTATTTGACTGTGTTCATAGAGCTTCCAATGTAAAATTTTTTAATATCGGGGTTTTGGTAGTATAGTAATTGTACTAAGATTAACTAGAGAACTAGTTAAACATTTATTCTGTCATGGGGAATTATTGGGATTCCTATAATTGCACAATTGTGATTATACTTAGTTTTACTCACTGTGACCGGGACTCTGTATTGAGCACACTTTTAGGAATAGTATTTTTGGTTATTGAAATTTATTTCGTGTGCACCAATCCTATACTTGGATATTATATATATATATATATATATATATATAAAAACTATTACATTATTTTTTGCTCTACTCTTGTATTGAGCCCTCTTTTAAATTAATGTTATGAACGTTTGAATTTTATTTTTTTCGTTCTTTTACATTTGTGTGTATGTGTGTGTGTGTATATAAATTCGTTTAGACGTTATTTTTAATACATACTCATATTTGAGTAGATGTTCTGCTTTTATTTATTTATTAAACAGTATATTTTTTGTTTTAAACAGTATAATTACTGTTTGATAAATAAATAAAGACAGAGCATCTACTGAAATATAAGTATGTATTAAAAATAACGTCTAAATGAATAAATTAAAAAATCTCGGATTGTCCCGTGCTTTGTGAGTGAAAATGGGTAGACGGAATTCTTGTGGGCCGTCGATAGCTGTGCCATCGTGGGCGAGGGCTTGAATCTGCTGGCCTTGTTCAAACTGTTGATCACGCTAGGTAACACTCTCTCTCCCAGAAACTGTAACTAAGGTCTGCTCAGCATAGTTGCAGTATAAACCACAGGTGGGCTCTGTGGGTGTTGAGCAAGCACAAATGTGCCTGAGCGAGCGTTTGCAATAGGGATTGGCTAGCCGCCCTAGTAGACAGCTATCCTCGAGTTCGAGTGGCCAGCGTAGAGGTAGTAGTCAAGTGAATTCCACAATGAATCTCCAACTGCAGACCAACATACAGTATTTACTACTGTATTTATGTGAATGGAGACATACCCATTATCGTCCGTAGGTATGCTACAACAATTTTATGATAAAATTGGTCTTAAGCAGTTGATATTGGTAACAAAATTATTTCAAAACATTCCATCTCCCCTTGTTTTCTAAATTACGTTAGTTAATTATTTTCATGACGGACCTAACTTCAAGTACAGCCATCAAATCCATCCAGATAATCCTACGTTCATAAAAATAGTTTCTGTTAAGAAATCAGTTTTCATGTACTTCTTCATCCAACTTAGACATTAGTATTTGTTATATTTGCTTAAATGTCTTAGTTTAGCTTCTTTCATGTCTTTATTCTGCATTTCTATCTCTGTTTTTATTCGCAGTACTACTTTTAAGATATTTAAAATATTTAATTTTCTTGCTATTCAATGCACTTTTATTGCTCATTAATCTTTTTTCTTTTTTTTTTTCAAATCATTCTTTTAAAATATTTTAAATCCTGTTTTTTTTCTGGTTCTTATTTTGCCAAGGTTTTCAATTTCTTCATTGATTGTTATTATATAAATATATCGTAAAAATTTTACCACTTTTTACTTCATTAATACTAAACTTGTAAAAAAAAATAACTTGCATTATAAGGTCTAACAATGCATACCTTCTTTTCATATTCTAGAGGTTGTCGAGAAAATCTCAACCTATCCCCAAATCCAGAGATGGTGCAGGCTGCGGAAAGGAGCAAAAGTACTTACCTTATGTTGGGAAAGATATTTCCTTCTGAGACGTAGCTTAATCGTTTGATAACTTGCATTGAGTTACAAGAAGAACGAAAAAAAAAAAAAAAAAGAGGAAACAACATTTCCTTTATAACCACTTCAAGGATCACGTGGTAACAAGGCACGAGTCCCTGTAACTATAAAAAAATAGTAAAAAGAGAACAGCTCTTAGTTCACAAGAACCCAGGTAAGTACATTACTCCTTCCTACGCCTGAACCGTCATTTTCTCCACAAGGTTTTTTTACGTGTCTGTGGATGTACATGTGTAATGGTTAAAGACTCGGAACGAGAAATCGGCGAGCAGAGTTCGAATTCCGGTTGAGATCATTATATTCACTTTCGCACAAAATACCCTTTGGAAAGTTAGATCTATTCTCCCCTCAGTTATCTCTCCCCAGCATAGAAGGAGGACAACTCTGAATTCAAAAACGTGTTACCCTTGTGAGGATATACTTGAAACTAAGATCAACTCAGTATACTTGCAGTATAAACCACAACTTGGCTCTGTGGGTGTTAAAGAAACACAAATGGGTCTGAGCAGATGGGCATACTTGCAAACGAACAGCCATGCTGATCTACATGAAGGCACACTGAGTGAAATAGTATCAGCCTATTTCCAGTGTGTACACCTGAACATGACTGATAGTCAGGGATATTCTGTATAGAATTAAAGGAATGTTATATTAATCATTTTAAAATGTCTATTTCAGAATTCTTAAAAAGAAAGCAAATGCGAAAAACAACGTTTATCATCAATTATTTGAACTTTTCATCTTTCATAGACGATACCACAACATTTCAACTCCAAACAAAATCTTCGCCCCACCACACACACACACGCACACAGAGTGATAACAGCCATTCAATAAACAGGCTAGACAGACGTATATGTTTACTAAGACCTTCAGGGGCCGTTGCCAAATCGACCAATCATCACATAAGTCTGGCAACTAATTAACACTAGTGTACGATCAATATATCACACAGACCAATTTCCCAGACAGTTGATCAATTTGTATCTAAACAAACGATTAGATCTTGACTTGAAAGGTCGATCAAAACATTGTTCATACTAATGATGGAAAAGTAATGATCTGCACCAGTCAATGCGTAGACCAAACTGGCAAGTAAAATCTTACTCAATACAGAAATAAACATTTTAAAAAATCGGCAAAAAATATGATGCAAAGCAGATTATTAACCACCATTATGTGAAAAAAAAATCTTTTTAAAAGCTACCGTATTTGATGGCATATAACATATCCCTCCAGCAAATAGCTTGAAAATATCTTCTTGGCTCTTATATGCGAAGTTGAAACAACATATAGGCTAATTTTTATCTAGGCGCCAAAGACTACCAATACTTGTCCGTAGACTAACTTTATAATATTGTAATATTAACCCTCAAACTGGTAGAAAAGTTTTCACGGACATACACGCCAAACGAGACAAAAATAAGAAAATTCATTTTTAAAGCGTGGTCTTTATACTTATTCTTACATTAATTATATACAAAAACTATGAAAATGATATTTTAACTCTTTTAGAATAAAGAAAAAGGGAAATAAAACAAATATTGGATTCTTAAAGTGAGTATTTTTAAAAGTGTAGTACTCTTGAATCCATGCGTAATTGTGATTTTTTTGCGCAATGTTATCATTATTTTCGATCTTTTCTTTTCGAGAAGTATACATGCATATATAGCACTGTCTTTAGCTATATTTTTCTAGAATTATTTGTAAATAGATAGTCCAGGAAATGACGTAATCTAATGGATCCTATATTTATCAATTACTCATTTAGACTTGAATCATGAATGAATGATGCCCATATCGTTGAAAGAAAAAATTGTAATCATCAATTAATCATATCCCCTGATCTCCAAGGAAACGTCAGTTGACGATGCTCACCTTTTAAAGGTTAACTATAGATAGTTTAGGTCTTATATACCATCAAATACGGCATTGTAAAAATATTTGATACTTACACATGGAGTAACGTCTGGGTTATTCGCAAGCACGGCATTAATCCATGTGACAACAGCCTGTGGAGTACCAGCTTTTTCTTCTTTGTCGTAACTCTGAAAAAATTATTTTAGACTAATAAAGATATATACCGACAATAGATTTTTTTGAATACTAAAATTTCACCTAATAAAAATCTCAAGAGCCACTCGAGCTAGAGAGTGTTAATGTCGAAATGGTAATACTGAATGATCTGAATTGAAGAGGAGGTGGCATGAAGTGACGATTATAAGGATAAAGAGTACTGATAAGTAAATTCATCTTTATATCAACATTTATTCGGGAATCCCTATGTTTACCAATGAAATAATGATGGCAAGAAAATTAAAATAGTGTTTTTGTAGTGTTAGATCTGCAGATTTGTTTATTTTATAAATGATTGTCACTACTTAACCCGGGATTCTAAATATAATCTTCGTTGCTGGCTATGGCTTTTTGTATGGTAGGTCAGTTCCTGCTTAACCATGATTACACTTTCAGTCCCTCTTTTCAACCATTCCTTTGAGGTATCATGGTCCCTCAGTCTTTCCGTTGCTCTTTCAAATTGGCTATGCAAGTGCATGTCTAATAGCTGGTCACGTTTCTTCCTCGCCTTGAATTCTTCTTTTCACTTCATCTCCGTCAATATCCATTTGTGACGTTGCATATTGCAGTAGTTGTTCTTCACTGTTCACTAAGCAGTGTAGTAGAAATCTTCGTTCATCTTCGACACAGTCCATCAAATTTCATTTAATTTAAAGTCTGCTGATGTTAGACTGGCTGCAGCACACCATGCATTACGAACATCTTATGGTTCTTCCTATTAATTTCGGCTATTCCGAGCTGTGTCCAGTTCAGAATTACATCACTGTGTCTTACTACATCCACTACCCATATGTTGATTGCTGCAATCAAGTTCGGTGAGATGAGTTTTGATTTGAGTACTGGTTTTGAGTTCTTCAGATATCTATCACTGTCCTTCATATCTCTATGTAATATGGCAACAAGTTCGAGAATTCTAATATGAGCTTTTATCTGGTTCCGCCATGACTCCTTCGGATGTTAGTTTAATGCCGCGACAAAGCACTTTCCTTCTTCTCTTCATAGTCAATAGCACACTTGAAAATCCTGAATCACATACCAATACCATTACTAAATTGTTGCACTGTCTTTACTAGGGAATCAATTTGACTACTTGATTTTGCAAACAGGTTCAAGTCATCTATGAAGTGCAAGTGATTTACAATTATTATTTATTTATTTTGATTTATATATTTTATACTTATTTCCCCAACCAAAAAACTAAGGTCAGAAACGTTATTATGGTATTGTCCTCGGCACATTTGTGTAAAAAGGAATGGCATACACATTATATACAGTGTGTAATTTTGCTTGTAAGAACGGTTTTTGTATTTCTTTAGAATATGGTTATCCATGGTTCCTTTCAATGAGCTTTTCAGAACCTTCCTTGTAAAACCCAGGGCTTTAACTACGACTGGAATTATTAATATCCCCATGTACCAAATTCTGGGATACTTTAAGATCTTTGTATTTTGATACTATTTTTTTTAAAGATCTTCAAAGCTACATTGCAGTCGGCAGGAACTACTATGTCAATAAAAAAGCACATTCTGCTTTTATGGTCTTTAATCACTATAAGCGGTTAGCTTTGATGACGATATTACAATTACAGCCACCACCACCACCACCACCACTATATTTCTAATTTATTGTTCAATTCGTATCTCTCGCCATCAAATTAGATAAAACAAATGGTTCAGTTGTTTTATTTTCTGGCCTCATTAAGGTGTATCTAGTCTTGTGCATGTCGTTGACCTTGTTTCGCTTGTGAAAAATAATTTCGCCTCTTAGAAAATTTAGCAATAGTGTCATGGTTAATGAACAGTATCATTTCAATCATCTTCTATAAAGATATTAGTGAATCTGTGGATGGTAAGGAAAATTGTGAGTAGTGTTAATATATTTGGTAGAATAAAAGAATACAAAGGGTATTGCATTCATTGATAGTATATGAAAAAAATTAACCATTTTGGACGAGATATTTTTCTGTGATCGTTTATTGGCTAACTATATCGTCAGTCAATCCAAGACAACAATTGTTTTTACTGTCTTCATCATCATCTACGAATTGCCTTGAATCATTATCCAATTCTTTGCCAGATTAAGAATCATCGGAATAAATAAACTTCTCGTGATCTATCTTGTCAGCCACTTCCTATGTGAATAATGAATCTGTAGATGTAGCGGTAATCGGAAACCCGAAAACTTAATTTATTCTGTAGTTATGAACAAGCGTATTAACATATATGGATATTTAAAAAAAATACTTACCTCCTCCATCTTGCGTTCAATATCGGCTCCAAGGCCAGATTTCTTTGCTCTGTGTGCCATTTTCTTTGTGAAAGCAGCGGTGCTGTTCTGCCAAACAAGATATCTGAAATACCCAGGAAATGCAAAAAGATTGTCTAACAATATTTGATTAAGCTTTAATTATAGAAAGTAATTAGTTAATAAATAATTCGTTTTAAAGACAATGTTATATATTTGGCTTTTAAAGACATTAATGCTTTGTGTGTCTACCGTTGACTCATGATAATTAAGCTCATCTTGCAGAAATTCGTTAGTGTATTTGCGGTCAGCGTAACAGCTATCAGGTCGAAAACTGGTATCTGTGAACCGAATTCAAATTTCAGCTTGCGTTCACTTTCTTAAAAATACTCACGGGACTGACGTGAAGCCATCTCTTCTCCCCACTCCCGGTTATCGGTTAAATAGCAGTCTAGACTGGGCTTTCTAACCTTGAGTGGCAACCATTCTAAGAGAAGGAAAACTGAATTTCAAACTCTGGAGAAAGCAACAAGAAACCACTCTTTCCCAAGGAGGCATGCCCATTCACAGATAATAAAGAAAATGGAGAGCCATAATTGTCTACATTCTGAAAGAATATGGCAATAACAAAAAAGATAATTGATTTCAATCTATCCTTAGGGCCTATTTACTCTAGCCTTGTGACAAACTAAGCGAATCTTGATATTTATTAAGAACCTGTTTTATTGATCAGGTAGTTATTTCGTTCTCAGTGAATTGTAAAAATCCAGCATTCGAATGCTGATTTTCAAGGCAGGCAGACAGGCCCTGTCTATTCGGAAAAATTGTGCGAGTTATCCATACCGATCTTCTGCTAGATCTCTTACCATGTTAAAAGTAAGTTTGTAAATAGAAACACAAACATAGCATTTAATCGAAATAGAGATTTCCTATGTAGACGTGGAGTAGAGATTCAAAAACTTATTTCTCAACCAATAATGGTGGATGAATAATTTTTAACGATGTACGTAATGTATGAATCCAATAAAAATGTTAACTGCAGTTAATTGCCTACTATTAGTGCTTTGAATTTTTCCTTTCCTAAACGTTTGACAAGTGATTAACTATTGTTATAAAGTAGTCTTAGAGTTAACATTTCTTAAATTGTGTGGGTTTTTCATAGTTAATTTTAGTTTTGTTGGTATTCATGATAAACCGTGACCACAAAATAAGTGATTTTTAAAATTATTTCACCCCAAACAAGCTGATAATGCCACTAAGACACAAAGGGTTTATGGGTGGGTGGGTGTGTTGAAGAATGAGAAAACTTTATTGAGGACAATCAAAGAACAGATTTCAGGAAAACAAAAGATGGCGATTGGCGTTGCACTAAAAAGAAGAAAAAATATTAGACTAGAACATACGGTTACAGCTAGCTAGTTACAGTAAAACGGTGAGACCTAGTTGACAATCTAGTCGTACGATTAACTTCATGCAGTTGAGTCGCCAAGGAGGAAAGATCATCAAAACGAATGTCATGAAAATATTTATAGAAAAGACAGAGGGAAGCCACGTCACTGTGGTGAGAAAGTGACTGAAGTGGAGATGCCAGGTTAGGATCGATTACATTACAAACATTTCCTTGTATTTTGTCAAGAATCTCCACACCACACAAAGCGCTGATATTGAAAAAAATAAAAATGTAGTGCTGAAATACGAAATTGTTGGTTTGATTAATTTATTTTCTTAATTGTTTTAACTGTAGTTTATTAGCGGGTCATCAGAGTGGGTCGCCTGGTGAGGATAAAACTCAGTTGTATTTGTTTAGAAAAATAACTTGCTAGACATTGTTCTAGGGCAGGCGTTCAGAAATTTACTAAGCTTTACTTAGCCTGGCTCTAGGCTACATCATTTGAGCGCTCAGAATCAAAATTATAAGTAATCCTTTGTAAGACTAGTATTGCTTGAAAAAGTTGACATACAGAAATTTTCTTCAGTTTTTCTCAGTTGTATGTACCTCCAGATGCAGCATAATATTGACGAAGGCATAAAACTGTCGAAACGTTGTATCCAACTTGGCAGAAATGAAGGCAATAATCCAATATTATATATTGAATAATGAATATATTTCACTTCTGAACTTCAGACAGAAAATATATTTTCTTTTCCAATGTATTTGTTATTCAAACGAGCTAATCAACTCTATTGTCGCATGTAAGAAAGAATTTTGCTTTTTAAATCATTAAAAGTAAAAAAAAAAAATCCAAGGAAAGTAAATAAGAGATGAAAGGAATAAAAAGCCTGTTCTCCATAACTTACTAATGAAATATTCCATTGCTATGATAACACGAGGCATATTCGCTTGTTAGCATCATTTCTTGTCACCATAACAACGGAATATCTAATTACTTAGGCGGACAGCTCAGGCTGCGTGACCGATAAGTGTATAAAGACATTGTATTTTATAATATAAATAGATAAATTGATGAATATATCACCATAATCAAAAATCTCCCATTCATGATTTTGTGAAACAATTCCAATAATTTTTGATGAGTGTTATTGGTGAAATAATCGATAACAATAACAAATAGGAATATTTAGTATTTTGGATTTGAAAACAATGC